CCCCCCCCCCCCCCCCCATTTTTATTTTTTTTTTAAATGAAGTTAGACTTTAATTGATGCATCAAATCTGTGTAAACAATGGTGGATTACGTGACTTGTGGCAGAACTAATCAACCACCAGTGCAACTCCTGAAGCACACAGGGTACATTACATAAGCAATGCTTGTGTAATTACAAAAGCAGGCTAAAAATTTAGCGATAATCAAAGAGAGTAAAGTTTGCGGTTCTAACCAATGCAATCTGGTGCTGAGCCGGTCCAGGTGCCATTGGTGGTGCAATGGCGAGTGGTGAGGCCAGAGGTCTTGTAGCCCTCCCAGCAGGCGTACGTCACTGAGCTAGGAAACAGCATACCGTCGCTGAAAACGATCCTGGCGTAGGCCGGCGTTCCAGGGTTTCCACAGGATACAGCTGGGAAGGCAATCAAAGACCAAAGAAGTTAAAGAGAGAATGTGAGGAGTAAAAGATCGCAGCTCTGCGGGACTGAAAACGCAATCGAGAGAGAAGAGCTTCTGGGAAACATATCTAAGGGCTAGCACCACAAGCAAAACACTTCCAATTACACCACAAGCACTGTGTTTTGCAGCCTGCAGAGTTTTGCTGGCAAGGTAGATGAACTTCCTTTTCTAATTAGTTGGAGCTTTTGACAAGTTTTTTTTTTTCCCCCTTATACTTTGAAGTGCCATTTTCAGATAAGGGAAGTAAAGATGATACGCTCCAATGTGGTTAATTAGAGTTCGAATTCTAATAGCACAGACATGCTTGACAGCCATAAATTGGTTGGGCGTCCATACGACAGTTTTCACCAGTGCTTTTCTAAATTATGACGACTAACGTGCAACAGCCAATAATATTTAAATGATACATTTTGACTGCTATTGTGGAAACAAAGAACAATAAATTAAAAGTGTTTTGCAGTGCTGTTAGCAGGGTAGATCAACTTAGTTCCAACTTAAATTTTTTATTTATTTATTTTTTGGTACCTTCAAATAGTAATAATTAGAATTTCGATTTGCACACTGGTGCACACCTTACATCGGGTGTCCATATCGCACAGCTTTCCACTAATGCTTTCTAAATTATGATGAACAAAGCGCAACTATAAATTATATATAAATTACTCATTTTCATTTCTATTGAAGAAACAAGAATTTAAGAGTGTTGTTTATGCTCCAAGAGCATACTGAAGATCAACTGGTTGTCGGATAGGTTATAGTTAAGAAATCATTATGATACTAAAAACTTCTACAATTATCTTTAAGTTTTACCCTCTCTGGGTTATTTTAATCAGCAGAAATTGTTGAAATAGTTGGAGACATAAACGACTCACTTAATCTTTATTAGCATCAAGCTTTGGAGCTGTAATTTGGCCCTCATATCCTCTTGGACTAAATAATATACAACTAATATACAAGTAAATAGAGAAAAACTGGACCAATTAAGAGTTAATGGGATCCCAGTGGAGGCCTGCTGTAAACAGATATAGTTCCAAACTTTAAGTCATTATTTGTAAGTGGCAACAGGCTTGTGTTTTATTTCTAGTATCTGGAAAGTATTGTCTGTATCCTTACAAAGCCCACCGTTGAGTTACCCCCCACAGCGATCTCTCACAGCCATCTGTTAAAGCCCTTATTCAATTATGAATGTGCCCTGAATAATGTATATTATCGATCTATTTTACGCAACCCCATCGTACTGTCTGTAGCAGAAAACAAACAAATAAATTAGGGATAAAACACATTAAGCTACTGGGTACATTGTTGTGTTCCTCTAATAATATGGTATAAATACTTCCTGGGGTGATTCCAACTTCTAGCTTCCAGGAGGTTTATTTGCTGAGCGCTGTTATTATTTTGTTTTCATTTGAGAATAATAAAATTACAGATTGAGATATACAGTGGACCTGTGCAATGAAACTGACGAATGCATAGGTGTTGGTTAATTAGATAGAAAATTCGATTAGCTGATTTCCATTAAACTAAATATAAATTATACATAAACTAATTTGTATACAATTTGCTAACAGAGACAGGCAAGAGTGGGTGATCAAAAACACATACAGGGACTGCATTTGGGAAATATGGAGGAAAACGACAAAGAACATGAATATGTACAATCCCCTCTCAATACATATATTGTTTTTTTTTTTTCTGGGCATTAAATAATGGCACATATTACCAGTAAACTGACTACCGCAAACCTTAGTAAATCACCTTACATGATTCATTTAAATACTCTTCTCCCATAAATTTTGCAACTGAAGGGGAAACTCCTACAAATGTATATGCAATAAGGTCAGTCGCAAAAATAACTAGATTGTCTAGGAACCGCAAAGAATAAACTACTACTTTATTGATTTTAAACTCTCAGTCTAGTTTCTCTTAACTAGGAAACCAATTGAACTTTTTCGATAACAATAAAAATAAAAAAAAAACTTTGCTCAGACTCTGAATCATGTCAAAACGTCCTGTATTTCCATTAGCAGTTAGCTAGAGCAGGCTATTCACAAATCCTTACTAAAGCAATGTATCATTACGCACCATGCTAATGACAGGCCTTTTGTGTGGCTCCACTAACCAGAGTCATTGAGTTAACTGGAAATTACCGATTTTAGGCCAGTTAGCATCAAAAGATCAATTTTACACTAATTACAGTGTACAATTCAGGAAAAGAATGAGCAGAGCAGGTTAAGTGAGGTTCAGACAAAGAACAAAGAGAGCATGTTGTAATTTGAGCCTGCTTTAGGTTCTAAGAATATATTTAAACCTTTTTTAAAGGCACAGACTAAAAACCCCTAGTCTCTCAAGCATATATTTTTCTCATTAGGCCGTTGCCTGTACTGGATCACAGTTTGCTCGGAGGAACGCTTGACTTTCTGATCTAATTAAGCTCAAGTGCAAAGCAAAATCCTGGTGAATTTCGCCTTGTGTGTCTCTGTGACCCTCACCTTCACACACGGGCTGGGTTCTGCTCCAGGAGCCGTTCTGCAGACATGTGCGCTCGGAAGATCCGATCAGTGCGTAGCCCGCTTCGCACGTGAACCGTAGGAGGCTTTTATGCCTGAACTCCTCCCCAAGACGAGAACCATGAGGAGGAATTCCCGGATCGCCACAGAATCCCGGATTATCACCTACAAAAGGCATGACTCTCATTGACCACCCACTTTCTCAGCAGCCTCGGTTCCAGAAATGTTTTTCAAACAACTATTAAATAAACAGTTATGAAGCAGGCCAAAAACTGAGAAAAAAACATTACATTTACATTTGATTCAACATTAACATCAACATTTGATTACAACAACTCATTTGAAAATCATACCAAACTACTACTTGATTTTAAACTCTCAGTCTGGTTTCTCTTAACAAGGAAACCAATTGAACTTTTGCAATAACAATAATAATAAAAATAAAAAAAAACTTTGTTCAGACTCTGAATCATGTCAAAACGTCCTGTATTTCCATTAGTAGTTAGCTAGAGCAGGCTAAAATATGCTAAAATATAAGACTTTATTTCTAGCAATGTTACATTTAAAGGGGTTTTCTTTCAGTCTTCAGATATATACAAATATATGTAACACTTTACAACACTTATATAAACAAACAGTACTTCTACAGCATGTTAATCCAAGTTGATGTTAATTGTGACATTACTAATACGTTTAAACTCAAAGGTTGCATCTGTTAACATTAGTTAATGCACTGTGAACTAACAATAACAAAATGAAGAATAGTATTTGTATTAATTAACATTAACAAAGATGAATAAACACTGTATATTGTTCATTGTTAGTTCATGTTACCTAATGCATTCACTCATCTTAATTAATGGGATCTTATTGTAAGGTGTTACTCAAATATGTAAGTTGTAGGACACTAACTTGAATACAATATTTCCAATGATTTATAGGTGTGGGTGTCACTGCTGAGCTTTTTTGGGGCAGTTCCTGTTTTTTCTGACTTCTCTGATTGGTGGATTTCTTCTTCAACAGGAATTTGGAAATCTTCTGTAACTCACGGTAGAAATGTGTGTATGTGACTGCTATAAATTAAAGTAATTGTTGCTTACTTGAATTTTCCTTTTAATCAGTCATCTATCTTATTAGTTTGTATTAAAAACATCAATAATGATGAAGATAAACAACTTGCCATTTAATATCAGAGTGTGTAAAGCATGTTCTGAGTGAATTAAACTAGATTCTTAGATGTCAAAGTCCTGCAGGAGTAATGGACCACTGCTCTGGTGGTGAACTTCTGGCCCGACATGACAGCAAACGGCGGTGTGCCGGGATCACTGCAGGATATTGCTATGGGGGGGGCAGAAGAAAGCGGACAGAAGATCTCCGATAAGATACTTCAAAACTGCTAAAACTTCAGTGTTCTTTTGCTGCATTGCCTCAAAATGCATGCTGTTTATCTATGCAGTGTTTGGTAACACTTTATTTTAAGGTGCCCTTGTTACACATGTTACATGTACTTACTATTATAATAACAATAAATTATGCATAATTACATGCAAGTAACCCTAAGCCAAACCCTTATCCTAAACCTAATCATAAAGTAAGTACATGTAGTTAATTAATATTACTCAGTACTTAAATGCACTATAACAAGGACACCTAAAAATAAAGTGTCACCCAGTGTTTTTTACAACTATCATGGAAACAGTGATTGTTTAGATGCAACCCACTTACAATCATATTTAATTTTAAAGCCTTAATAGGGATGTGCAAAACTACATATTTTCAAAATCGACTATGACGGCCTGGTTACACTGTTTTTTCAGTATACTGCATATTACTTTTTAATGGTAAGTGTGAACAACAGGCATAAGCTACACTGTTGTCACAGGACCTAACCTTTGAGGCCTGTTTAATTCAGCAAGCGGTTTCAAGTCAAAACCTTGGAAATTAATATGGTTCATTTGCATTTTATTCCTTTTTTGTGTAAAAATATCATTTGGCAGTCTGATCAAATAGTCAAGAAGGAGATGGTAAAATCACAGCTGATATTTGTTCTGGTTCATCCATCACAGTGAAAACTTAAAATTAATGGTCAAGTCAACCACACTGCACCGTAGCATAAATTACAGAGCACTGCTTACAAACTATATACTGCAGAAAGAGTAAATGCAGTACGGTATTATACTATACAGACGCCAATCAGACATTTTTCTAAGAGGCAATCACATAGGCTGCTTGCATTTAAACAGCTAGGGGAAAAAAATTAAAAATAAGAGTCGTGAGATGTTGAACTATTTTTAAATTGACACATTTATATACAATGTGTCAAGTTATAAATACACTTAAAAATACAATGCTCACAGCATGTGAAACAGATGCGAGACAATGGCAAAAGCTAGCTGTCCGTCTGCATTTGTATACTGACCAACTATTTCAAAAACATTTTGACAGTGCAGTAATTGTCTTGTTTACAAAAGTCTTGTCTTTGTTACAAAAGTGGTCCTTTATGGCTGTAATGGTGGAGCTTTGCAACTTCTAAGAGATGACTTCAGTGTGCTGACAGTTCAACAGTTATTGCTACTTTTAACATTCTGTCAGAATGCTAAATCTCTCAAATTATCCCCTTTAGTGCACGTGTTAAAAATATTAATAATAATAAAAAAAAGATACACAGAAATAGTAATTCTACAAAAAGATTGTCTCTTTTTTTAAGCAAAGATATCTAAATGTCGTAGTAACTTGTGTAAGACTTATAGGATATAAGTTTATTTTTTATTCAATAGGCAAAAATATTCTCTGAAAAAAAAGGTCTTAATAATCTTGTTTAATCTTTCTTCTCCAATGAATTTAGCTTGTTTTAAGAATGCTGGATATTACTGAAAACAAGAACCATAATTCTAATTTAGAAAATGTATTTTGAAGCATTCCATCACATGTATACAACAGCAATGGCATTTTTGGCACTCTATGAATCTCTGGACGAGTGTGTATTGGACGAAATACGAGGCTATCACTCACGAAGGCACTTAGGAAGTGATCTGTCCCAGAAGCCATTTGACTGGCAGGTGAGGACGGAGGAGCCGAGCAGATAGAAGCCCCTCTTGCAGTGATACATCACGGTGTTTCTGTAGTTGAAGCTCTCAGGGTAGCGCTGTTGAGAGTGACGAATGGTGTTCTCCACAAAGCCCGGATCAGAGCAGTTTACCACTGCAAGATAAAAACAGCCAGATGCTTAATGTCTGACGGGGAAGCAAGAGTGAGGAAAGACAGAAGAAATCAATGGAAGAGGCTGAACAGTAGGATCGTTGGTGCAGCCTCTGGAGCAATTTCAATCAACTCCACACCGTAAACCGCACTTTCTTTTTGAAGATATGGATTGTAAGAGGGTGAATTGTGCTTCTTCAGAACTTACTTTGCCTTTTATCTGTGCACTTCCTCAACAGTCAAGAGTCTTTTGTTTTCCCGTGCATACCTAGAACATGTCATGCATGCATTCTGATCTAAAGTTGACATATCTGTTCACGCAGTGAACATTATTCTACACATGTAACTGATTCTTTCTATGCTGTAGTGATAGATTTTGACAGATGTAGTCATAGTACATTTCTCGACTCAAACCGGGAACATGCTGTTCTTGGCATGCTGTGTCGACCATGAAGTTACAAATTCAGTTACTGCCCGTCGCAATTTAACAAAAAAAAAGAAAGATAGAAGTTGACGCCATGTCCAGGGGAAACAAACCAGACTGCCTTGCCTCGGTGGCAGCTGTCAATGTCTCGGCGCTCAATTAAGCCCCCTGGGAGAGGAAAAGTGGGTGGACAAGCAGCTAAAAAGTTGATAATTGGCACCTGTTATTGGTGTGTTGTTTTTCTTTGTGAGACATCATGACTTGATCTGAGTGTATCTTGAACATAAATATCTTATCATTGCAGCTCAGTATAAGAATAAGGCACATAATACAACATACAACACTTTTTTTAATTGTTTGTGACAACTCGTCTTTTTTTTTTTTTTTTCAAATGTATATGACAATTTTACTTGTTTTTTTATTCGTGCATGTCAATTCCATTTTTTTTTCATTATAACAATTCTAGGTTTCTCTTAACAGTTCTACCTTTAGTGTAACTATATGACATTTTTACCTTTTAAACAGCTGTATATTAGAATTCTAGCTTTTTCATTGGTATATTACGGTATTCATGTTCGGTTCTTTTGTCGTGGCCACGACTTATTAACTCGTGGTAACATGATAATATGTTGAGGACACACGATATTAATTTGTGGGAACATCATATTAACTCGTGATAAAAATGTTTTCTTGTAATCCTATTTTATGTAACATTTATTCACAATAAACTTCATTCGAAGCTGTCTACATCACGTGCAATACAGTCCGGTAGCCAAGGCCTACGGTTAATATAATAATTTAATAATCTAATCATTTCAATAATATTTAATATAATAATTTCTTAATTCAAAATAAAATATTACGAAAACCATCTCTGATAATCCCGGGTTGCTATGGCCATGCAGGTTTGTTTACGCATTTAACTCATGGCCACGAGAAAAATATGTCGTTCCCTCAACATAAGAAGTCGTGGCCACGAGAAATGAATGTCGTTCCCTCAACATAGCATCTCGAGGCCACGACATATTATCATGTTAATATGTCATGGCCACGACAAAACTAAGTGAACCGAACATGTCCCCTCCCGTTCATTCTACTTGTTTTGTTTTTTTGGTTACACTTTATTTTAAGGTCCAATTCTCGCTATTAACAAACCATTAACTATGACTTTTGCCTCAATAAACTCCTAATTTGCTGCTTATTAATAGTTAGTAAGGTAGTTGTTAAATTTAGGTATTAGGGATGTAGAATATGGTCATGCAGAATATGTGCTTAATAAGTACTAATAAACAGCCAATATGTTAATAGCATGCTAATAAGCAAACATTTAATAATGATAATTGGTCCCTAAACTAAAGCGTTACAGTTTCTATTTTTGTGTAATTGTATATGACTGTTTTTCCTCTTAAACAACTATGTATTAGAATTCTACCCTTTTCATTTAATTCTACACATCTTTCGTGCATTTGTGCATGTCTACCTTTTTTTTTTTTTTTTACAATTAAATAATAATAAGCTTACAATTATACCAATAATAAATGTCCTTTTTCTACATGGTTTAGTCAAAACTATTAAACTGGCCATAAAAAAAAAAATGTCTAGTTAGTTTCTAAGCTCGCATCAACTCAATGTTGGACTTGTTTCATGGAACAATGCATCCGCTCAGATGAACGTCAGCCGTTCTCCCTGCTGAGTGCTTCGTCCCTGGGCTCTGGCTGAGCCTGTGGGGAATTGTCCATCTTAGAAGAGTTGACCTGCCTTCATTTTCCGTCACGATTCAATTTCACCAGGCCACCATCAACAACTTCCTTCGCACATTAATTAATCATTAAAGTGACAAGATGTGCACAGTTACTCCTACTTAATGTCAGAAAGCATCCCACAATGTCACACGGGTTGCTGCAGACCCATTTGACTTTCAAATCGACACTTCGAGATGGGAAATGACACACAGAGAATTATTTGCACATTGCTTCTTGTCATTCACTGGCTGACTCAGGCTGCTGAGCAGATGCTGGTTTCGCTCTGTTAATGCTAAGCCCATGAGCTGTGGGTGTTAAACAGCCTCACTAAGGAGCTTCTCGCATAACAAGACGGTGTTCAAGGCTGCATCTCCGCTGAGATTCTCAACAAGGGACAGGCTGCCTGGAAGCGTTTGATATACAGTAAAATCGTGTTTATTGAAAGGTTCATACCCTTGCACACAGGTAGAGGGTTGCTCCACTGTCCGTTCATGCGACACTGCGCTCTGGATGCACCGTGCAACAAATAGCCTGTGTTGCAGGTGAAGTTGACCACGTCGTTGAGATTAAACTCGCTGCCGTTTGTCCGACCGTTTGCAGGGTTTCCAGGATGGCCGCAGGTTATGGCTGTTGAGAAAGCGAGAATGGTCAATCACTTCCTTTTTGAAGCTGCTGAAAGGGCTTGTGCATATGTTGAAGTTACAATTTTTTTACTTAAAAAGTACGGTTGTAAATTAAACGTTACTTTTTTTTTTTTTTTTAAAGAAAGAAAAACAAGACTTCTAAAGACACTTTGGTCACACTTTATTTTAAGGTTCAATTCTCGCTATTAACAAACCATTAACTACGACTTTTGCCTCAATAAACTCCTAATTTGCTGCTTATTATTAGTTAGTAAGGTATTTGTTAGGTTTAGGTATTGGGTAGGATTAGGGATGTAAAATATGGTCACGCAGAATATGTGCTTTATAAGTGCTAATAATAGGCATGTATTAGTACATAATAGGATATTTAGTAATAATAGGATATTTAGTACATCCTACTTTAACTGCATATATCCAGTATGTAAAGCAATATATAGCAAATCACAGCTGTGTTTGTTGATATTGTCACAAAAACTGTATTATGTCACAGCTTTCTATATAAAGTTGGAAATATCTCAACTACCTGATTTTTTTTACTAACCTTTTTACTATTCAACTGCTTGATTGCTTGCATCACCACAAAATATATTATATATTATATAATCTCCCAGATATGAACATATAAACATTATAAACATTAACATCATGATTTTCTGTAAAGCTGCTTTGAAACCATGTATATTGTGAAAAGTGCTATATAAATGAATTAGACGTGACTTGATTTAATTATTATATAAAATACGTAAGTAATTAATCCAACTAAACATTTGAATATTCTGACAGACCTTAGACAGACCCAGAAATGTATTCATTAAAATAATAATAAAAAATAAATAATAATAAATAAATTAAAAATAAAATGAATAAAAGACACTTACGAACACACACGGGTGCTTGGCCTGACCATCTGTGGTCTTGTTGGCAGATACGAACTGACGTCCCTATGAGTCGAAAGCCCAGGTTGCACTGATAAACGACTGTGTCCCTATAACTAGATCCATCACCACTGATGTGGCCGTTAACAATCGGATCCGGAGAATCACAATGACCAGCTGAAAAACATTTTCAAAAGTGGTCAGAATCAACAAACCTCTCATGAAAATCAATTCTTGTTACTAAACAAACACAAATTCAAACTAGGCATTTAATGGAGCATGAAGCACAGACACATCAGCACCACAGCATGTCCAGAGAGCGCTCCGGCAGTCACCGCTTGACACTTCGATGAAAGGCCCTCCGTGTTGTTTGGTCAAGCAGCAGGTGATGTGTCTAAGGGTCAGCGCTGATCCTCACATAGTGGCATATCTTAGTTTAGCTGCTCTCAATGCTTGTTCAAGGATTTTTCCCTAGTTCCAGTATTATCTAGCACTACATAAGCCATAAATTAATATTGGCAACACAAGATGTCAATTTAGGGTTAGAGCTGTGAATGTCTGATAGGAATGTTGTTCTGGGACTAACAAAGGATGTTTTTTTTTCCAGGAACATGTCCTACTTAGGGAAATCACATTGTTCTTTGTGCTGTACAATAACTAGAACTATACAAGCATAATATAATAGAGTAGGAAAACATCCAGTAAACAGATTTGCTTTTCTCTACACATGAATGGTTCAGTAATAATAACGTCCGATCACAGAAGCCCCGCTGAAAGATGCTACTTACCCAGACATTTGGTCTCATCTCCCCTCCAGAGACCGTTAGCCTGACACTCCCTCACGTGCGAGCCCACTAAAGTGTACCCTGTGTTACACATGAAGATAGCTGTGGCGCCATAGGTAGTCAGGGTGCCCATCTTCTTGCCATTAGGAGGGGATGGAAGCTCCCCACAGGAAATGACTGGAGGAAATAGCCAATGCAATATCTTGAATACACATGGTAATTTTAGCTGAAAAAAGGTCACATTGGTGATGGAGGACACAATATGCCATTCTTATTCACAGTGACTACTAGCTACCAGGAAACAGAGGGGTGAAGGTGGCATGGCTAAAAGCGAAACAGATGTGCTTTTATACTGGTGGACATGTCAAGGGTAATAGAAGTACACTAGCAGTCAAAAGTTTGGACACTCTTTGTTACTTACTGTTTATTACTACTGTTTTCTCACTTCTTTTTAAAAACAATGTAGTATATACATTTTTTTTTAAAACAAATGGAAGTATACAAATGGAAATTAAATTGAACATTTAGTTTATTGTCATGCTTTAAATACCTACATACAATTCTAGTTTCATAAAGATAATCATATAAACATTTCAACGGTATTTACAGTACTTACACTGATATAATTTGTCATATAGCATGTACATACATTTATTTTGTTTTGTTTTGTTTTATCAAAAATAAAGAATTTAGGTTAAAACATACATAAATATATTAGGGACATTTTCTACCATTTTAAATAAACTTTTGGTCATACTTTAGTTTAAGGTCCAATTCTATATATTAACAAACCATTAACTACGACTTTTGCCTCAATAAACTCCTAATTTGCTGCTTATTATTAGTTAATAAGGGAGTTGTTAAGTTTAGGTATTGGGTAGGAATAGGGATGTAGAATATGGTCATGTAAAATATGTTAATAATAGGCATGCTACTAAGCAACTAGTTAATAGTGAGAATGGGTCCCTATACTAAAGTGTTACCAAACCTTTAAATAGCTTTTAATTGTTTACAATAGTTTGATTGATAAGAGACTACATGGTATATATTTGGTATATTTGTTTGGTTCCAAAACGCGATAAACGCCATTTAAAAAAAATTTTGAGTTCCCGCCAAAATCAGTATTGTATCTGGTCGGTATTGAAAAGTCCATTTTTAATTTTACGCAAAATGTGATATCCGCCGTGTTATTCTGTCATGTTTTCTCCCTATCTTTCCAAACCGCGACAAACGTCAATCTCCCTTCTCTGCAGAATGCGATACATCCGCTCAACCAATCACAGAGCACCATTCCACGCATTGTAGACAGTAACTGACAGGCAATGCAATATCGGGTTCATAATCATAGATGAATCGCCTTCGATTATGAACGCGATATTGCGTAGTTTGTCAGTGATCTACGGCTCTGTGTATTAAATGCCGCTCCATCTGAAAGCGCGTGATGGAGATTTACTACTAATCACAGAACCGCGATCAAGATGCGCATGACAATCGCATGCGATTTATGGTGCAGCCCTAAAAAAATGAATAATTTTGATGGCATTGATGAACCTGTGGTGGTTTCTGCGGTGGGGAAGAAACGTAAGCTATTAATAAGATTAGTATTGACCAAGTTCAGAGGCTGTCATATGTGGATCAACTT